CTTATCTTATCTTATCTTATCTTATCTTATCTTATCTTATCTTATCTTATCTTATCTTATCTTATCTTATCTTATCTTATCTTATCTTATCACTCATGAACAAGACCCCAAGATACCTAAACTCCTCCAGGGCAGCAACTTGTTCCTGTCCCAGAGTAGGCACTACATCATTTTCCAGCTGAGGACCATGGCTATAGATTTTCTCATTCCCACCGCTTCAAACTCAGCTGTGAACTTCTCCATTGCGAGCTGGAGGCCAACACCTGATGGCTAACCAAGCCCAATAAGACTCCTTCTTCAGATTTCAGATTGATGGCTCTCTTCTGGGCTTACCATCACAACAGGCACCAACCACCTTGCACCTGGAGCTCCTTGCAGCAGCCTCAGTCATGGAGATGCAGACCATTGTCCATTCTAACTCAGTGTCCCATTCCTCAAACTGGAAGTTGAAGATCTCCTGAACTGGAGCCGCCCCAGTCCACCCTCAGCTCCTCTCTTCCGCCAGGTTTCCAGAACATACAGCTGCACATACCCAAACTGTTTATTGAGGTCAAACACACTAACACAGGCTCCCTCCCCAATATCCCCCGAGGTAACATTCAATGTCCTGCTCGTCAGCCTTGATAACCCTGATCGCCACCAAACACACAATAATGCCATGAAAGCAAATTTTAAAAACATGGCCACTAACTTTTCATTCTGAAAGCCTTCACTCTAGATGTAAAACGAAGTCAGTGTTTTATTTTAATTACATGGTATCTGTATACCTTTCATCTCCAGAATAATTTGGGCAGAAAATAAATTTCACTTCAACTTCTAAACTAAGTTTGTGGGATATGATCTTTCAAGAAATGCAGACTAAACTGTTGTTGTTTGTATTTACTTACACAGCATGTCTTGTAGAATTTACTGGAGTCAACACCAAGTACTGCTGGAATTCCTTTGAGGACAACAGCATAGTGCAGTCATATTTCAAGTCTACATGTCCTATGTGTTATGCATGAATGTACATGAGGGAGTTATCGCTGTTCGAAAACCCACAGAAGTTCTTTTAATATGTTCTCGAGCATCCCTGTGTTCCCTGCAACTAACAGAGGAAAATATGGGAATCTTATCTGAATGTCCCACATGTGCTCTGTGTAATGCTGCAGTGTAAGCGTGACATAATCAAACTGGAACATCTTCATAAAGGGCTCCTTATCACGTGACAAACTTAAACTCATATACCGGCATTCTTATTACTTCCTCAACATAATATTCTTATCAGTGAAGATGTTACCTATTCCACCGTAACTACAAAATAAAACAAAAAGGATTGTCCTACAACAAAAATAGACTCATATGATCTTGATAGTGTCATTAATGGGAAAGTTTACTAGATGGCATAAATGTCCTCTTCATAATGTTTTTATGTAACTTCAAAGTAACATACCTGCAATGCCTTCTTAAAATTGCATAGGGAACTAATAGGGAAGTAATTTGCAAAACGTCCCTAATGTTCTGTGAAGGTTCAGGATGTTTGTCACCTATAAAGAACCTTTACAATATAGAAACTGGAACAATATGAGTTATAAAGCTTTGAATAAAACCTTTTTATGGTAGTTAGAAAGGTTGATTATGCACTTATTACACAAAAAAGTGAATGCCTAATTTTGTCCAGACCTTTTATAGAGTCTGATCTGTCCCAGAGGGTTCATGCAGTCAAAGGAATTTAGCACATCCTGGGTGTTGTTGGTGCCTGATTGGAAAATGTTACCAATATTTCTGTAACAGCCATGTAGCTTTGCAGTAATTCATCAATCACAGAGTGATGTGCGCTTATCTTTTAGGACAGGCCTGACTGTGTCTAACTCTGCAAGCTGCTTGACTGGATGTTGTCCATTCAGGTGTCTTCTATTTGACTTTCTGTGGCAGATGGGTTCTTTATAGAACATGCCAAGTGATATTAGCTTCCACTGCAAGGCAAGTGTTGCCACTGAAAAGGCGTGAGGGGGAGAGGAGGAGGAGTAGGAGGGTGAATGAGGAGAAAAGAGAGCGAGAGAGAGGGAAAGTGAGTCCAGTGGGCGAGAATGAGAAAATCCCCTTAAAGATCCGTGACGGGGCCCGGTCCCTCTCTCTAAATGTATTTTAATAGAAGGGACCCTGATGTCCAGGGCAATTCATCTCCCATCTCCATGTAATGAAAGGAGTCGTGGGGAAAGGGGGGTGGAGGGGAGGGTACAAAGGCTACATGTGGCTTTGCCTCATTATGCTGCAGTTAGGCGAGGGCTGTGTGGAGGTTGCAGGGGGTTAGGGTCCCCACAACCGGCTCAGGGGGCCACAATACCGGCATGGACGCCTGCAAAAGGGAGGCCCTGCCATGCCATTATCCCACCGCTACTAACGAGGGCTTCATGGACCTTTGATATAATCTCACTATTGAAATCCTGATAAATCCCCCCCCCGCATTTACAGCCAAATCCCATTTGTAACGGGTGTGTGTGTGTGTGTGTGTGTGTGTGTGTGTGTGTGTGTGTCGTCCTCACCTGCGCCTCTCTGTTCTGGCAGCCGAGGCCAAAGAGAGTCGTATATTAAATCGGGACGTTACACTGGCTTTAATTAAAAAAAATCCCCCGCTCTCTCGTACAAGACATCTCGTGAGAAGATCCGAGCTGAGACAGATTTAAAATAAAAATCGATGCTTCAGTGGATATAGTCCGTTTCCCGCCTCAGATATGATCTGATAGGAAAACAATTACTGGATTACAACACACAGGGGGGATGAGTGAACATAGGGCAGAGGAAATTTAAGGAATTTATTAACCCTGGAACACTATCGCTATAAATAGTAACACGATCACTAATGCCGGGTGATTTTTACCCGATATAATATAACCAATGAAAAGTAATCAAATATATCAAAATATGACAACACGTGACAAATTAGAGTGGTCGTCTTTTACTTTCAACTGTGCCATGTCTAACAAAATGAAAAATAAAACTCCTAAAACAAAATAATGACTCTGGAAAGCTGGTCTTTGGTCCACCCATTCCCGGGACATTTGAGACTTCCCTGGTGATGGCACAGGCTCCTCGACACGCAAACAGCTGCAGGAGAGAGAAATGATGTAAATGTATTTTCTCGGGTGTAAATCACCCAGCGATAGTGTTCTAGGGTTAATGAGAATTTCTTTTTAAAAAAGAGCCCAAAAAAGGAAAAAAAACGAGTCTCTTACTTTCAGTTAAGCCACATTTCTTTTTGAGTCATTCGGCACACTGAGCTGTGTCAGCATAATGAGTCTATCAAAAGTAAACTACGTGAAATCCTCTCTATCCACCTGAGCCCCTCAGAGCCAACACAGAACAAACGGTGTCATGTTTCCTGCATGTGTTAAGCTATTGTACTGTATCAGAGATGGAGAGGTCACTGGGGCAGTTCCCCCTCCCCACCACCACCACCAGTGGCTGCTTCCACACTGACACAGGACACGCGTGCCTGATGATCCGAGCAAACAGCGTTTGAACATAAATCCGTTCATACTGAAATAAGGCTTGTAGAGGTAAAGCATCCCGAGCAGACACTCCTATTCAAATGCTTTGTCCTCTAGCTCAGGGACACTGCGCATCTCCATGGCCCCCCTCCCCGCGTGTCGGTGCGCAGACTCATTTAACAGCCCCAGGAATATAAACAAGCAAAGGAAACTATAGCAGTATTAAATCAAGCCCCGCGTTTAGCCCACATATTGGGAGCCAAGTTTCTCCGCACAGTCCAGGAATCTCTAAACAGGGTATAGAGGTCTTTCTGAAGTCCCCCCTCTCTTTTCCCCCTCTATCTCAAAGCCCGGATTGGTCACAGTGAGGCTCATTTGCATGCCTCGCCGTATAAACCCTCCTGCAGACACTGCAGCCCTCTTGCGCTGAGAGAGCAGCACACCTCCAGTCGAGAGAGAGAGCGGAGCGCATCCAGAGTGCGCATTGAAAGACATATGGAATATTTATTGTGGGCTTTTTCTGAACAAAAAACAACCCCGGAGAGTTGATTAGAGGGCGGGAAGAACTCTTGTTTTTGTTTTTTTCTCAGGTGCGTTTGGTTTAAACTTTGAATTGGACTGAGTGAGGACGCTCTGCTGAATTTCAGAATATTTAGGAGAGAAGGTGCGAAGATGGGAGAAACAGGGTGGAACGGGCTGTTGGTGCTAGTGTGCGCCTCTCTGATAAGCCTGGCTGCTGTCACGCACGGAAAGACGGTGAAATATCAGACATTTGAGGAAGACGCACCGGGGACGGTGATTGGAAACTTAGCCAAGGACACTTCCTCCTCTGCCTCTTCTTCCAGGAACAGTTTCAGGATGATGAAACAGTTCAACTCGTCTTTCATCCGTCTGAGAGAGAGCGACGGGCAGCTGACCATCGGAGAGAGGATAGACAGAGAACGGATCTGCAAACACACCCTGCACTGCCTCATCGCTTTCGACGTGGTCAGCTTCTCCAAAGAGCAGTTCAAGCTCATTCACGTCGAGGTGGAGGTCAAGGACATCAACGACAACTCTCCCGAGTTTCCCCGGAAAGAGTCGAGTCTGGAGATCTCCGAGAACACAGCGGTGGGCACCCGGATCCCCCTGGACTTTGCCGTGGATGAGGATGTTGGGACAAACTACATCCAAAGCTACCAGATCTCTGTTAACAGCCACTTTTCGATCGACGTGCTCAGCAGGGCCGACGGGGTTAAATATGCGGAGCTGGTGCTCATGAAGGAGCTGGACCGGGAGACGCAGGCTTCTTACGCGCTGGAGCTGGTCGCCATGGACGGCGGCAACCCGTCCCGCAGCGGAACGACGCGCATAAACATCAAGGTGAAAGACTACAACGACAACAGCCCGGTGTTCGACAGGAGCAGCTTCTCCGTGGACCTGCCCGAGGACGCGCCTGTGGGCACCCTCTTGCTGGACTTGAACGCCGAGGACCCGGACGAAGGGCTGAATGGTGAGGTGGTGTACGGGTTCGGTCACCAGGTGCCCCCGGAAATACGACAACTCTTCAGAGTGGACAGAAAAAGCGGGCGGCTCACTCTGGAGAGCCCGGTTGACTTTGAAAGTAAGACCACGTACGAGTTTGACGTCCAGGCCACTGACCTGGGTCCGAACCCGAGCCCGGCCATCTGCAAAATTGTCGTGCAGGTGCAGGACGTTAACGACAACGCGCCGGAGATCTCAATCACCCCGATGACGTCCATCACGGCGGGAATAGCGTACATAACTGAGGCGGCAGCCAGAGAGAGTTTCGTGGCTCTGGTCAGCACCTCGGACAGAGACTCGGGCGCTAACGGGCAGGTGCACTGCACGCTGTACGGACACGATCACTTCCGACTGCAGCAGGCGTACGAGGACAGCTTCATGATTGTGAGCACCAGCCCGCTGGACCGTGAGAAAATCCCCGAGTATAACCTCACAGTGGTGGCGGAGGATTTGGGCTCCCCTCCCTTCAGGACCATCACTCAGTACACCATCAGACTGACGGATGAGAACGACAACGCGCCGGTGTTCAGCAAGCCTGTGTACGAAGTGTCGGTCGTGGAGAACAACGCGCCCGGCGCGTACATCACCACAGTAGTGGCGCGGGACGTCGACATGGGGTCAAACGGGAAGGTCACTTATAAACTGGCGGACACTTATTTCATGGGCTCCCCCATTTCCACCTTTGTGTCTCTAGACCCTGCCAGCGGTTCGCTTTACGCGCTCCGGAGCTTCAACTATGAAGTTATGAAGCAGCTGGAGCTCCGAATCACGGCCAGCGACGCCGGCTCCCCGCCGCTGTCCGGCAGCGCGAGCGTGTACGTTAGGATAGTGGACCAGAACGATAACGCGCCGTATATCACTCAGCCGGCGCTCAACAACGGCTCCGCTGAAGTCCTCCTGCCCCGGGACTCACCGAGCGGCTACGTCATCACCCGCGTGGAGGCTCGGGACGCAGACGAGGGCGTGAACGCGGAGCTGTCCTACGGACTGGCCACCGGCGAGCCCTCTGTGTTCTCCGTTAACAAAGCCACAGGGGAGATCTACCTGAACCAGGTGCTGAGCCAAAACGTGGACGAAACCCTGAGCGTGACCGTCACGGTGAGTGACAACGGGAGGCCCGCACTCACCTCCACAGCCACGCTCCACTTCCTCATCATCGCGGGCTCCCCGCCGAGCGACAGAACCGTGTACCAGCCAGGCGGCGGGGAGGAGGTGCACGCGCAGTGGGACCTGTCGGTGGTGATTATCGTTGTCCTCGCGGGGAGCTGCACTCTCCTGCTGCTCGCCATCATCCTCATCGCCACCACCTGCAACCGGCGTAAGCGGGACAAGAGCGGAGATGACAGCGACTCGTACGGGGAGAAGGGCGCTCTGGAGCGGGGTAGGAGCCACGTGGTGGACAACCCGCTCCTGCCTCTCCACGGAGCCGGGGGAGAGGCGGGTTTTGACGGACAGTCGTACAGTAGCCAGCCAGGGGCGTTCACCTCGGCTCACCCTGGGGGCAGCGACATGTGCTCGGCCTCGGAGGACGGCAGTGAAGTGCCCTGCGTGTATGACTCAGACAACAACAACAAGCTCCGGGGGAATAAACACGAGGTGAGATGCACCTTTGGGACAAGCGTGCTGGGGGAGGGTGGGGAGGAGGTTGCACACAACAAGCAGGCACTAACCTCTGTTTTTCTATCCCCCCCTCTCCTGCAGGGCTACTCTACTCTACCCGGGTATGGGAATGGCAAAGAGGCGGTGAGGCCCATCACCATCTGGAAGGGCAACTCTTACACCACCATCTCTGCCAGGGACCCAGCCTTCAGTGGCAAAGACAGTGGCAAAGGGGACAGTGACTTCAATGACAGTGACAGTGATGTGAGTGGAGACACTGGCCTGAAGAAAGAAGGGGCAGCAGTTCCTCCCATGGGTGGCCAAAATGGTAAGAGCAACAAAATTAACTCAAGCTCAAATTATCAGCAAATGAGATGTGAGCTAGGTGGTGTGCACCTAATCTAACCCCACCTTCTTACCCTCCTCTCTTCCAGCTCTGTGGGCTTGCACCAATGAGTGTAAAGTCCTGGGTCACTCAGATCGCTGCTGGAGCCCCTCAGCAGTGAGAGCCAACGCAGCCCCATCTCCGGCCCCGACCCTCTCTTCCTTTAGCAGTCTCTCCAAAACGGCCTCTCTGCCCCGGGATCCTCACCGCAGGGACAACTACTACCAGGCCCACATCCCCAAAACTGTGGGTCTGCAGAGCGTGTACGAGAAGGTGCTGCATAGGGAGTACGACTATGTTCTGGTCACTCCACCCAGACCTGTGAGGGTGCAAGAGATCAGCGATATAAGCATCCCCGTTTACACCCCGACCCCAACACACTGTCCCAACAATGATGACTAAAATAGACACACACAGCCCTAAGCTCACTTGCAAGGAACTGTATAGTGTGTTCAGACTTTTAATTTATGATTAACTGACAATGAGAACAATGTAACTATTTGCTGTGGAGAGTGCGCACACGTTGATGTCCCAAAATTTCATTTGTTTTAATGTAAAAGCCACCTTTGAAGTCCATCCAATCACTTTGTGACAACTTGCTGGACTGGATGTGTATAATATGCAAGATTTGTACATTGAGAGATTTTTATTTTTATAATGAAAGTATAATGAAGCAAAAAATGTGTACATATGAATTGTAATTATCAATCTTTATGCATGCTTGCTATTTAAAACGAAATGCCCCCAATATCTGGTTTCATGGAGGGCTGGTGACCAATAATGTATCAAGTTGACAACCACATAAGGAAACGGACTTGAATGCAATAATTAAATAACTGTAAAGTCTTTTTTATCATCACAATACGCTGAAAGGAAATAAACTTTAAATTGTTCTGAAAAGTGTGAGTTGATTGGTAACGAGGGCAAGCAGGATCATTGTTTTTTGGTGGGGGGAAGCGTTGGGTTTTGTTTTTTTGCAGGAGCATCAGTCTTGTAAAAACCAACAGGTGTCGCTGTTATTGCGGTAGTGAGCCTCTGTCCTTGCAGCCCGCTGAAGAAGGTCAGTTAAGTTTTTCCCCCCTCTGTGAATACGATTTTCGCTGGTGAGATGCCAGAACAGACGCCAAGGTTTTTTTTTTTCTTTTTGAGCAAATCACTCTCATGCATATCGAGCAAAGACCTCCATCGTTAGTCTGTGCACTCTTTCAGGCACTTAATAACTACATTTATTTTCACGGGACCTGCATGCTGATAGCACACATGAATTAAAGATATGTTCAGGTTTCCTTTATATAAATCATTAAAACCTGGAGAGCGCGCTTATGTGTGAGGCTCATACTGACAAGGGCTACGCGTAAAAGCGCGTCTGCTGTTTGTCTTCTGAGCTTCCATACATCAGAGGAGCCTAAGAATAAGTTTGACGGTGCACACAGGAATCCAAGAGCACCTGTGCTTTTTCCTTTCTTTTCTTTTTTTGTCAAAGTACATGAAGTCCTTGTGGGGGAAAGCTTTCCTGTTATCCTGTCACGATGTTTTTTGTCGATCTGCCAAATGAGCACCGTGCGCCCCTTACGTAATCCCATCATTATCATTCATGGATTCGGGCTTTTTTTTTTCTTTTTCCTTTTTTTTCTTTTTTTAATAACAGCAACCACAGCCCTGGACGCAGACAGGGGAAAATGCGATGGGAATCTGTCCAACAAGCTGCTGCCTTTGCACAGTGCCATGTAAATACACCGTCTCCACGGTGGGAAAGAAAAAAAATCCATGCGACATTCCGCCAGAGTCACCTTTGACCCCGAAACAGTCTGTAGAGCTTTGAAAAGCAGCGAGAGGGAGGAGGGTACGGTGATACGGGGAGACAACCCTATGCTTCCCTCGTCCTGCCGAATAGATTTCACGGTCTGAGGTTGTCACAAAGTCATATCAAACTCATGCAAGTTGCATGAGCAGCCTATACGAACTTCAAAGAGGGGGGGATCATTAATTTCTTTTTCTTTTTTTTTTGACAGAAGGTATAAAACAACTGGCTCATAAGAGGTTACTGCATGTGATGGTCATCAGCTGGAAGTTTTAGTTTTATCTGTAAAGTCAGGAAACCTTCAGCACGACAGCAACAGAAAAGAGTGCCTGCGTGACTGAGGAGTGTCTATCCTCCCCCTCCCCTGAGAGAGAGAGGAGAGAGAGAGAGAGTGGACTGGGGTCTCCTCAGGTGTTTGGCTTCAGTCATGGCTGAGAACTCAGAGAAAGTACCGATTGCCTTGGCGGGACCAGAGGACCTGCATCAGTTCATGCCTCCGGTGAGTTGTACAGTCCAGCCCGCCACTCTGCTCCATGATGCAGGCTGTCTTACGTGTGTTTGTGTGTGTACGGGTTCTTACTATGTTGGTGGGGACCAAAATCTGAAATCTATTATACTGGTGGGGACCAACAGCTGTGGTGGGGACGAAAATCCAGGTTTTCATGGGGTTGAAGGCATTTTTCACACTCAAAATGTGGTTTAAGTGTCAGGGTTACGATTAGGTTATGTTTAGGTTTAGGGTAAGGGTTAGGGTTAGGCATTCATTTTTAATGGTTAGGATTAGGGCAAGCAGCTAGGGAAAGCATTATGTCAATGGGATGTCCCCACAAACATAGCAAATCAGACATGTGTGTGTGTGTTCAAGACCAAAAGCTGGATAGATAACTTTGAATCCCATAACTGCTGCACAGCTGTAACGCTGTGTTATCAAGAGTTAGCTGTGCTGTTGTACCATGCTTTCATTTTTAGAGGGTTGCTTGTTTTTTCACCTTAGGCGTACTCCGCCTTGGCGGGCAAACCCGCTGCCACCGGCCGCCTACTGAAGGCCGGGGTCGCGGTGCTCATAACCGGAGCCCTCCTGCTTCTGCTGGGAGCCGTCGGAGCCTTCTACTTCTGGAACAGCCATGAAAACCATGTAAGAGTGATACTTCACTGCTGTTATATATAGTATATATATATATCATATATATATATATATATTCTATATTTTATATATACCTTATATATAATATATATCTATACAATATATAATACATATATTATATATTAACATATAATATAGATATATTATATAGATAGTATATACATATATAGTATACATATATTATATACAGAATATCCATCAGAAATCCAGTATTTAACACATACACACACACACACATATACATATACACACATATACATACATATATATATACACATATATATATACATATATATATATATACATATACACATATATACATATATATATTTATATTTATATATATATATACTATATATATATATTATCAATAATATATATATATATATATATAAAAATTATATATATATATATATATATATATATATATTATATATATATATATATATATATGTATTTAAATGGTTTACATATATACATATATATAGTATATATAGTATATAGCACTGATAAACTTGAAAATATGATCTTAAACTACCTAAAAGTTATTTTTCAAATGTAGTTAACATGCAAGTGAATATATGGAGCATTCCAGCTCAGAATCTACTTTTTTTATTTGCATATTCCAAGATCTATTTAGGTATTCATCAGCTCTTTATATATTACTAGGGACTGGGTGCAGCACAGGCTCCAAAGACCATTCCCTCTTTTATCCATGCACAGCCACCAAACACCCATTTAGTCCCTGCTACCAAAGAAAAAAAACAGCTCCCACACTCTATAAAACTAACATCCCTTAACTGAAGACATTGTTGAAACAAGCTGTTTGAAATTAGGAACAAGTGAAACGTAGTCATCACTGGTAGTTTTTTCTCCTTCTTCTTCTTCTTTTTAAACTTGTTTAAATTAAAAAAGTCTCTGCAGACTAAAGCACTTCTTCAAGATGGGTTATTTTTGCAGTGTAGGCAAACAGTAAAAATGTAAATGAAACACTCCCATTTCATGGTACAGTCTGAGGCAGAGCTTGGTGAATGGAGGCGTTGTGTGCCTGTGTGTGTGCGGGTGGTGTATATAGAGGACCCTTGGCTGGGTTGGAATGAGGGGTGGGGTTGTGGGAGAGTTTTCAGGGTCCAGCTGATGCTCCGGGGGCAAGAGGTGTAAGAAATGAGAGGCCAAATTTTGCTTTCTGAGTGTGTTTTTCTCCCAGTAAGAAGTTAGAAAATGTTATTAACGCATGATGGAGAGGCTCTGTAGGCGGGTAATTACATTACTGGGGAGCTGTGAGGGTACTATTCTTCTGATGAGCATTTGAGAAGGAAAAAAATGAGGTGGTATGTGCGAGGAGAAGTCACAGGGTAAGATTAGAGATGGAGGGAGAGTGAAAGAGCGAATGCCTGGGGTGGGGTGAGTCTCAGGACTTTCATACCTTACATGCCAGTCAGAAAAGCTTGTGTGTGTGTGTGTGTGTGTGTGTGTGTGTGTGTGTGTGTGTGTAGGTCTACAATGTCCACTACAGCATGAGCATCAATGGCAAAGTGGAAGAAGGTTCAATGGAGATCGACACTGCCAATAACATGGAGAGATTCAGCACCGGCAGCGGAGCAGACGAGGCCGTGGAGGTCCATGACTTCGAGATTGTGAGTTCAGGTCAACGTAACCAGATGAAAAAAAATATATATATATGTTAATGTGTATTAGGAGGCTGTTTAAAGCATCAGAGGAAAAGTCGATCAGACTGGTCGAAGCCATCAGCTCATTATCACGGAGCAGAAATTAAGAACAAGCAGGCGAGTTATCCCCTCAGGGGCAATCAGTGTCGAGATGCACTGTCCCTCCAATTTTCATTACGTTCAGACTGGTGGTTTTTGACCTTTAATTAAAGTGCCCCAACCAGGCCAATCAGACTAGTGAAGCAGCAGTTTTAGCCTTTTATGTATTAAAATTTTGACCTTTTTAATCACAGTGTCCCCTGTGATTGTATTTTCTCAATCTGAGAGAGTGCTCACATTTATGACTGCCCTAAATTCAATCAAAACCTGACAGATTTTATTTGTGATATGTTTGTGATGGAAACCTTCAGACTGTCAAGGGGGGAAATAGGTTAATGTCCCCAGAAGTTAAGTGAGGTGTAGTGTACATCTTTTAATTTGTGTCCCCCATTCCCTGGTTTTTCAAATTCTTTATCCAGGGAATCACAGGGATCCGGTTTTCAGCAGGAGAGAAGTGTTACATCAAGACACAGGTGAAAGCTCATCTACCAGACGTGGAGGCTCTGAACAAGGAATCGATGACGTTTGAGCTGGTGGGTTGATTTTATGCTGTATGTTTTGTTACCAACAGCACTTTTTTTCTCAGTACAGGCCTACATTTAACTGAAACGCTCAAGAATTTGTGTTTAGCTATGCCTCCATATTTTCCAGATGTCAGCGGTCACTTTGGACTTGCTTCTTTGGGCTTTTTTTTTTTTTTTTCAAATAATAATTTAGAGTGAATTATTTTTCCTTTACAAACAAAAACTCCTCTCTCTTCCTTCATTCAAATAGTGAGGCAGTGTCGTGTGCTGGTCCATCACATTGGTCCATGCTACTGTATTGCAACTCCAGTTTTCCCATGAAATTATGGCCACACCTTTATGACCTTCAGTAATCTCCAAGTTTTTCTTTGGAGTACCAGCTGTTGCAAATTTTAAATCATGCCATGAGATGGGTGAGGTTTCAAGTTCTCAAAGAGTGGTCTTGACCCATATCTAAAGGGTGTTCGATATAATCTGAAATATCATAAAATTAGCCTGAATCATTGACAAAAAACCAACCAAACAAAAACTGCATATATAAACAACAACACAACATATTGTGTTGCTCTCACTTCATCCTTGAGCCATCAAAGTTGTGACATATCATGCTAGTTTGTGATAAAACAATATGTCTAGTTTAATCACAGATACATCATGCTGTG